CAGGCTGTAAAACAGCTGCAGTACATTCAAAATGCAGCAGCTCGAGTCCTGACTAGAACCAGGAAGTACGACCACATTAGTCCTGACTAGAACCAGGAAGTACGACCACATTAGTCCAGTCCTCAGGTCTCTGCACTGGCTTCCTGTGGCTCAGAGAATAGACTTTAAAACAGCTCTGCTTGTGTACAAGTCTCTCCATGGCCTAGCATCAAAATTTATTAGTGACATGTTAGTACTTTTTTTCTTTTTCTTTCTTTAACATATCTTTATTACGAGGAATAGCCTCTTGAGATGCATCATCTCGTTTTCAGGAGGGTCCTCAAAAATAGCAACACAAGTAGCAGCAGCGGTTGTCAAATAAATGCAGTTACAGTAAAGTGTAGCAAATAAAAAACATAACAAATTACAGTAAATAAATTCAATAAAATAACAGACAAAAAAAACTAACAAAAACAATACAAGGACAGAAACATTCGCTCACACACACACACACACAGAGCTCTCAGAGGTCAGAGGTCACCCTACTCCTCAAACTAGGACAGTGAAAACCAAAGGATATAATATTTAAAAGAAAGTTCAGTAGCAGTTACAAACATTACATAGATGTCTTTGTACAGCAACTTTAAAAAGAGAAAAAGAAGTTAAAGAGCGAATAGAGGCCGGAAGGTGATTCCAGTCGTTTGGGGCTTTATATTGGAAAGCATATTTGCCAAGTTCTTTCTTCACACGAGGAGTGTGAAAGAAAAGCTGGTTTGTGTGACGAAGATTATAAGAGGAATTAAAAGGGGTTAAATATTGCTTTAAATAAAGAGGGTAATCCAAAAAATAACATTTATAAATGAAAAACAACCAGTGAGAGTGACGTCTTTGGGACAGAGAGAGCCAGGACAGCTGCTGGTTCAGTACCATATGAACCAGCCCGGACTCTGAGGAGCACAGGGACTGGACTCCTGTTAGTGCCCAGAGTCATAACTAAACATGGGGAGGCTGCATTTCAGATTCATGCTGCTAAAATCTGGAACAATCTTCCTGAAGATGTGAGACAGGCCTCTTCTCTGACAGTGTTTAAATTCAAGTGAGGGATTTTATAGTTTTGTCTTTCTTTTTAAAGAAGCTATACCCGATTTTTTTTCTAAGTAGTTCATAAAAATGCTTTTTACTACATACAAGTTGTATCATAATACATCATTTAATTGAAAACTTGAGGTAATTGATTCAGCTGTGTAAGAATTACAAGCAGTGAAAAGTGCTGAGTAGAGTCTGAGCGGGCCGCTCTTTCTCCTCCGCTCACAGAACAAGCAGTGACCAGCCTGCGTCCTCTAGCCCCTACAGCGCTGCGGAACACCAGGGCTTCGACTTCAAAATTCGAATATAATTCTAAAATAAAAAATGTGAACAAATCTTAGACAACCCTTGTAATTTGAAATGTATTTAATGACTGCAAATAAAATAGTTAGCTCCCAAAGGTTTCACCGGGACGTGCTAGGCAGGTAACAGCTAAGCTAGCTAGTTGTTTCATGGTAACTTCCGGGTTTTTCGCAATCGCTTTTTGTCACATTGAAACAGTATTTTTGTCATGAAAACGTTAACAGCAAATTCAGAAATCATCCGTGCATGTGTGTTAAGGATGTATATGTGTACTGTATTGTCCGATTGACGTTTAATGGTGTTGATTGATAGATATGTAGTTGTTTATTGAGCGTGGCTAGCTCCGCTAGCTCCGTTGGCTTCTCTACACAGACAAGTGTGTAGTGACAGGTGCTGATAGCTTGTTCTTGCAGAGTAATGGCAGTATTTTACACACCTGAATTACAAACAGAGGTTGCATTGGGGCTTCGGTCATTATTGGTTTGAGAGTTCTGTTATCAAGAAAAAATGATCGGAAGAATTGCTGCTGCTGCTTTGAGGAGCTCTATAACAAATTATAATTAAATATTAGAATATATTCTAAGGTTTTAAATTAATACATTCGGACGCGAAACTAGCGGTATTCTTTTACTTATATATTGTGTTAGCAGTGCGTTGCTTTAGTGCCATTTAATCGGTGATTGTTGTACAGCTTACAAGAAGTTGCGCTAATGCTAATGTTAGCATATGTATCAGATCGCAAATAAAACTAGGTGGCTCTGTGTTATGAGAGCGTAGGGGAAATGAGAAGCCATTGAGCGAGTTGGGGGGCGGTGCTAAACATTCAAACATTGCAGCAACGGGTATAGCGCCTTTAATGTACTATCATGTTATTTTGCTCCCCTTTATTATTCCATTTCTGGGCTGGGGAAGGGGGGTGGCAATCAAAGCACCAATTTGTATCTTTCTTTTTAATGTACTGTGATTATTTATGATTTTAATGCTTTCTTGTTTTGTTCAGCACATTGAATCGTCTTGTGCTATACAAATAAACTTGCCTTGCCTTGCCTGGTTATTTTATTATACATGTGGATGACGTTAATAACATAAATGCAAAAGAGCAGAGTTCTGTAATTGAAACCTTGGTCTCACTCAGCACATGAGTGGCCCCACCCACAGCAGAGGGCACACTCTAAGGGCACCTGCTAATTACTAAGGGGGTGATTAGTAATGTAAACGTGGTCAATGTTGCTCTTTTTCATTTGTGTGTATTTTTTTTCACCTTTGTTTCACTAGAAAACCACCAGTGGACTCTGCAATTGTTCGAAGAAGACAAATAAATGAAAACACGGGTGAACTATTTGGGAGAATGATAAACATTTAGAATGCATCTATTGTAGATGACATGTTTAACTGTCACCTCTAGTGTTTTGAATGTTCTGGACACCATCGCACAGAAGAGAGTGCCGGAGGGCCGAGCAGAAGTGGCACAAGTCCAACCTCCAGGTTAATTACGAGATCTTCAAGGATAAGTTGTGTGAATTTAACCAGGTGCTACATAGTACGCTACATAGTTGCTAGTGCCCAGAGTCAGAACTAATCATGGGACGGCTGCATTTCAGATTCATGCTGCTCAAATCTGGAACAATCTTTCTAAAAATGTGAGACAGGCCTCTTCTCTGATAGTGTTTAAATTCAAGTGAGGGATTTTATAGTTTTGTCTTTCTTTTTAATGTACTATCATGTTATTTTGCTCCCCTTTATTATTCCATTTCTGGGCTGGGGAAGGGGGGGTGGCAATCAAAGCACCAATTTCTCACTGATCCTCCTGCAGGTGGTGAGTCCACAGGACTCCATTATCGAAGACATGGCCTTGGTCTTTCAGCAGGGGCTTCAGGCAATGTGGGATTATGTGTCTTGCCCAGGGAGGACAGCAGACAGTGGCAGCAGATGGCATGGATCATGGTGGGCTCGAACCCACAACCATTAGGTCCAAAGTGCTCTACCAACTGAGCTACTGTGGCGCCTGATTAATGCACTGATTATTTTAAGGCCTTGTGTTACTTTGTGACTTTCTAGCTTGTTTTGTTCAGCACTTTGAGTTGCCCTGTGTATGAATTGTGCTATACACATAAACTTGCATCGGGAGCCATACACCTGGCCTCTGCGTTACATGCATAGATGTGAGAAGTGAGGAGGCCCCGCCCACCGTGACGCGTCTCCATAGCAACCCGCCGAAACAAGCACAACCACGGCTAACCATGGATCTATAATACTAACGGGCTTACCCCACCGCATGAGGGAACCGAACCACACCAGACAGGAGCATAGGCCCTAAATATATACTGCTCATACACTGTATACGCTTCATACAGTACATGAGCTGCAGGGGACAGCCGCTGGACACCTGTGGGATATCCGCTGGACCGCCGCCCTCCCCACGCGAGCCTTACCGGTTATATCTTTCGTCACTAACGGTACAGCAACACGAGAGTCTGTTCTTGTTGTGTTTGTATCTAGACATGACATAACTAACAGTGAGCTAGCGTTCGCATAACTTTTAATGTGTGGATTTCTGTTATTATTGTATTTCCTGTGTTCTCTTCTCTGATCTGTTCGTTGGCGAATCCACAAACTTTGGACGTTGTAAAGTCCTCAGAGACAACTGCTGTTGTGATTTAGGACGATACAAAAATTGATGGGCTACACACAAATAAAACTGAAATCTAAAACTTCTTTGTGAAGCTGGGGCCCTATAGTTTGGGCCTCTTGTGGCTTATTTACTCCAATTATAAATGCGAACAATTTGGGCAAATCTGTATGTTTGTGTCCTACGCTGTGATGTAGGACAAACATACACATCAGTACAATCAGCTCGTCTGAACAATTTCAACACAACAGTCATTCATCATCATCCCCCTTGTTCAAAGCCTTTGTGGATGTAGCCATGTCCTCATAGTTCTCTGTTCAAATGAATCCAGCTTTGGTGAGATGCCTTATGCCTTTCACATGGGCAAAATAACGGATTAAATCAAAAGTAATACAAATCATAATCCAGAGAAAACACAGGGACCAAGGACAGAACTAAAACAAACATGGGAAGGACAATGACCGAACAGGGAGTGAAGGAACAGATGGGGCTTAAATGTGGAACTAATGAGACACAGATGATACACTTGAGGACAGGTAATCAAACAGGAAGTACTTCTAAAGAAGATACAGGTGTTAACCATGGATCTATTATAATGGTGTTAACAAATTAGAAACAAAGGGGAAACATCCTGACCATAACTTCACTGGGTAACTTAACCGGTCAGGGGGAGGGGAACAGAGGACCACCCTGGACGGAGAATAATGCCCGGTGGTGGTGCAGGACAAAACCCAGAAGAAATTCTTGCCTGGCGGTGGTTTGGGGTATATGCAGAGAGGTAGGCAGTGAAGATGGTAGGAAATCAAAACATAAATTAAACCTGGTGGCAAACTGGTAGCAGGTGTAAAAAAAAAAAAAGCAGTCTGCAGAGTCCACAGAAGTATTAGTATTATTTTAATATGTTATCTTTGTTGTCGTTTCTGTAATTTCTTTCTCTTCATACAACCAGTGTCCTTTTCCTTTTTTTTGATATATGGCCCACTTCTGGTACAGGGTGCACAAAATGCTGCAGTGGTCAGGTCAGATTCAGCCTCAGCTGTGGTTATGTCTGCAGGGCTCGGGGCCGGAGGCTGAGAGGCAGAGGGAGAGCAGGCAGCTGCTGGAGAAGCAGAGGCAGGTTGTGAAGGCTCTGCAGTCCAACTGCGCAGCAGCACATGTGAGTCCCCCCTACACATACATACATACACAAATACGCACTACTCCCCTTCACCAGGGGAGACTCAAGCTTAGTACTCGTCCCAATAAAGTCACGTCTCTTTCCAAATAACATGAACTCTTAAGGGTGAGGGGTGTATTATCAAAGATGTGCATGTGTGCAGAATGTAGCGTTATCTTTGGAGATGATCTACGTTTAATGAACACCATTGTCCTGCCTGTAGGCTGCTCATCAGAGCGACCTGGGACAACTTTCCAGAGCCTTTACACTTTAGACCGGCTCTATGGGACAGATTGGACATAGATGCTTTAATGTGAGACGCTGCTGTAGAAACTCGAGTGGGAAAACGTATGTGGTATTTTTGTCCAGTTTGTAGGAGCAGTATTCCCCTTGATGCACACCTCTCACTGCTATTCTTGTCTTGTCTGTGTCTTTGAGCAGAGCAGAGCCCAAGCAGCCATGCAGAGGGAGCAGCAGTGTGAGGAGCCCAGTCTACAAAGGGAGCAGCAGTGTGAGGCCAGACATGAGAGAGAGCAGCAGTGTGAAGACGCCAGACCACAGAGAGAGCAGTGCAAGGAGGCCAGACTGCAGCCTGTGATGAAGACGCACCACAAACGGTGTGTTGTCATTCTTGTGAGCGGGTGGTTCCCTCCTTTTGCAGATGCTCCAAATGACTGTTTATATGGATCATGTCAAATATGACCTGAAAGCATGTATCCAGCCACAAAACAACACAGAGCTTAAGCATGAAATCCATTCTTTATGAAATCCATTCTTTAATAATTAGGAGCTCCATCCATCCATCCATCCATCCATTTTCTTCCCCTTAATCCATTTCTGGGTTTGGGGGGGGGGGGCACCAGCCCCTCACTGATCCTCCTGCAGATGGTTAGCCCTCAGAAGGAAGGCTGCTCTGTCACAGCCTTGATATTTCAGTTGGTAATAGGTAATAGATAATTAGGAGATGATTTACCAAATACAGTCCACAGGGACTCACACTTTTGGCTTAATAATGAAATACCTTCTGTGTTTCAGAACATCCAAGGAGAGGTCTGAGAGACAGAACCTAAAGTCTATACTCGGGGAGGATTTGAAAGAGCAGCAGCTGTTCAGGAGGAAGCAGAATCCCCAGGCTGTGGAGGGCTGCCAACCTGGGGGCACAGTGCCCCCTGCATTATCCGTGCCCTCGCCACCTCTCTATCTAAGAGGAGTGAGTCTACCCTCACACAACAGCTTTATTCTGCTGGTAGGAATGAGCTCAAATATCACCATACCTTTACAATCTAATGCTTGTGCCTTGGGCCTACATAATTTGGCAGCCTACTGATTTGACTCAAGGTAAAAGAGGTGTTTTGTGTCTTTGAGTTCAGAGACTTATTCCAATTTTAAGACTATACAAAGATTTGGAAACTCAAACATACCCGATTTGTAAATATATGATGGCCCTCCTGTCCTTTCTGTGTGAGCAGGACAGCAGTGACAGCAGTGACAGCAGTGACAACCAGGACACGACAGCCCCTGAGCACCCGCAGCAGCAGGATGAAGAGGATCAAGACGAGGCTGCTGGAGGAGACCTGGAGCTCCCCGAGTTCAGTGGCATGTGGGCCCACGGCTATAAGGTACACACGGCTAATCCAAGGCTCAGAGGACCATCATCCATTACTATCTACAGCAGTTTCAATCTGTCCTGTCTGTTGAGAAAACAACAAACCCCAAGTGCTGTTAAAAATCCTTTGATGAATGGGGACTAGCCTCGTGTTTGGGCCAAGTAGGGCAACTTCAGGGCATGTTTAAGAAGGGCTTCATGATGCTATTTAGTGACCAATATACTGACCACATTTACACTGTAATTACACTGAGCAACGAACGAAGGGGAAGAGGAGACTCGAGAGGAATGAACCTAGAAAAAGACAGTCCCCAGGGGACTGTCTTCGCGCCATTCCTCTTCACCCTGTACACTGCAGACTTCAGACACAACACGGACGATTGTGTCCTACAGAAGTTCTCCAACGACACTGCCATTATTAGACTCCGCTCCGAGGACGATGACACAGAGTGCAAAAGGAGTAATACAGGACTTTGTGGACTGGTGTCAGCGGAACCACCTTCACATCAATGCGGGGAAGACCAAGGAGATGGTGGTGCATTTCCGCAGACGTCACTCTGCCGCTCCAGCCCCAGTGAACATCCAGGGAGGGAACATTGAGAGAGTGGACTCTTACAAGTACCTGGGTGTTCATCTGAACTACAAATTGGACTGGACTCATAACACAGACGCCCTCTTAATGTCTTTTTCGAGTGCAGGGGCCACTCCTGAAGACCTTATATGACTCTGTGGTGGCATCAGCCATCTTGTACGGTGTGGTCTGCTGGAGCAGCAGCGTCACAGAGAGGGACAGGAAGAAGATGGACATGGTCTTCAGGAAGTCCAGCTCAGTCCTGGGCTGTTCCCTGGACACAGTGCAGCAGGTGGGAGACAGGAGGGTCCTGGACAAACAAACATCTATGCTGGACCATGACTGTCACCCCCTGCAGGACACTCTGGCTGTTCTGGAGAGAAGCTTCGGTGACAGACTTATTCACTCTCGCTGTGTGAAGGAGAGGTTCCGCAGGTCTTTCCTTCCTGCTGCTGTCAGACGGTACAACAAACAATGAGGACTAATGAACACTGCCAACCTGATCTCGCGTGTCAGGCGTCAGTGTAATATCCTTAACTAGTATGTGCAATTACCACACGTCACTGTCACTTTACTGAGTCACTGTGTCCCAGAGCCTCATGCTGCTAATGTACAGATGTAAACATACTGCTGCTAACATGAACAGATGTAAACATACTGCTGCTAACATGAACAGATGTAAACATACTGCTGCTAACATGTACAGATGCTAACATATAACTACATATTGCTTGCACTAGAATACTCTTATTTTGCTAAATGTATAACTTGTATACTTCTTTTTATTATTATTTTGTTCAAGACAGAGATTTTATACTTGTCCTTTGATGCTAGAGATAGATGTTGTTTTATTTTAATTAGTATAGCTCACTTATCTTGTGCTTCAAAACGGTTTTCAGCTTAGACTTAAACAATATAGAGATGAGGCCTCCTGTACATCATCAGAAAGGCTGTTCCAGATTGTTGGGGCATACACCTGAAATGCTGCCTCCCCATGCCTACTCCTGACTCTGGGCACCAGCAGGAGGCCGGTCCCAACATGTCACCAATGTAGTTCGGTGCAAGATCATGGAGAGACTTGTACTCAAGCAGAGCTGCTTTAAAGTCTACTCTCTGAGACACAGGAAGCAAGTGCAGAGACCTGAGAACTGGACTGTGGTCATACTTCCTGGTTCTAGTCAGGACTCGAGCTGCAGCATATACTACAGCTGTTTTAAAGCATGTTTAGAGAGACCAGTGAGTAGGCCATTGAAGTAGTCTAATCTACTGGTGACAAATGTATGGATAGGTTTTTCCATATCTGGTTTAGACAACATATTTTTAATTTTGACAATATTTTTAGGTCATAGAATGCTGCTGATGTTATAGATTTGATGTGCCTATCAAATTTCAGGTCAGTGCCCATTATTACCCCAAGATTTCTCACTTCACTTTTTGTTTTTAAGGAGAGAGACTGGATGTAACTGTTAACGCTTTCTCTTTGTTTTTGTGGGCCAAAAACAATAACTTCACTTTAGGCAAGGCAAGGCAAGGCAAGTTTATTTGTATAGCACAATTTAAACACAAGGCAACTCAATGTGCTGAACAAAATAAGAAAGCATCGAAATCATAAATAATCACAGTACATTAAGGGAAAGATACAAATATTAAATATAAAATCCCTCAGTTGTATGCACAGCTAAACAGAACTGTTTTCAACCTTGTCTTAAACATTGTCAGAGAAAAGGCCTGTCTCACATCTTCAGGAAGATTGTTCCAGATTTTAGCAGCATGAATCTGAAAAGCAGCCTCCCCATGTTTAGTTCTGACTCAGGGCACTAACAGGAGTCCAGTCCCTGTGCTCCTCAGAGTCCGGGCTGGTTCATATGGGACTAACATGTCACTAATGTATTTTGGTGCGAGGCCATGGAGAGACTTATACACAGTTTAATCTGGGTTAAGTTGAAGGAAATTGTTTTGCATCCACTCACTGATCCGTTGAATGCACTGGTGGGCGGCACGGTGGCTGAGTGGATAGCACTCTCGCCTCTCAGCAAGAAGGTCCTGGGTTCGAATCCCGGTCGGACCAGGGCCTTTCTGAGTGGAGTTTGCATGTTCTCCCCGTGTCTGCGTAGGTTTCCTCCGGGTACTCCGGTTTCCCCTACCACTAAAAATATGTCCAATAGTTCTGGCATGTGCCTCCTGTACTGGCCCCGCTCCCATCTCTGTGAGGAGTGAGATACAAATGCCCAAAATTAACGATTGTAAACCGCTTTGAGACTCAGCTCTGCAGTGTAAAGGCGGTATATAAATAAAAACTTACTTACTTACTTACTTACTGGCAGAGGGAATGTGTTGGTCCATATTCCCCTGCAGTAAGTGAAACATACTATATCTGGGTGTCAAAGAGTGCTTAGTTAGCACTAATTTTAGGGAATAATGTTAAGTGTCTGATACGCGACACAAACATAGACTGTAAGGCTCCTGGGACAGCGGTGACGTCAGAGGCAGGCAAAGATGTGGTTCAGTTGTGGTGCAGGTGGACCATCCTCCTTTTAATAGGCTGCCACCGGGCACACAGGGCCTACTACCACATGAGGACACAGGTTTTTGTTTAATCGTTGTGAACAGAACACTCAACATCAGGACGGGTTCATATATCAGTTTGTCTGATACTTTGTTGTGATCCTTCAGCAAAAAATCCAAAGTAAGGTATTTACGTTTGGGGTTAGGATATGAAAAATGTTTACTTGCCGATTGGTGTCCGCGACTCTTCTCCCTTTGTCTGATGGAGGCAGTGATCCTTGTGCAGCTCTGGTCCCTCACACTTAGCGCTGATGTGGGTCGACAGCCGTCTCCTCAGATCGGCCCACTGGCTCTGACGCCTGAGTAAGGGCCGTGTACAAGCTCCTCAGGGCTCGTACATCACATCCACAACATTAGACATTTGAGCTGGTAGAAACAACTCAGTCTTTACTGTATGAGCAAAATCATGTTAGGAATGGTCTCTCACTTAGTTTGAGCTTGGTAGATTGCTTGCGAGATTAGTCCTTGACAAAGGATTCATGAAGTTGCCCAACTTGATCTGCATGTTAAAGGTAAAGTGGCAAAGTAGTTAGGTTTGAATCCCAGTTGGAACAGGGCCTTTCTGAGTGGAGTTTCTACTCTGGTCCTGAAGAGCCTGAACATCTGGAGATGGTTCCCAGTTACTTCTCCTTGACCACTTCTCTTGACAGAGGCCCTAGTGGCAATGAAAGACGGGTCAAATGGAGTCCCTTCGGAGACAATAAAGTACAACATATAAAAAGGAAATCACCGTGGCAAGAGCTCTGGTGTGTGCTGTCTGCATAGGGCTTCTAGCCAAAGGCTAGTTTGCGGCCCCTGTCCCTGGTTAAACTTTTGGAGAACAGTTTTGAATCTTGAAATCTGTGCTGACACAGGGAGAACATACAGTGTATCCGGAAAGTATTCACATTTCAATTTTTTCACATTTTGTTATGTTACAACCTTATTCCAAAATTGATTAAATTCATTTTTTTTCCCTTAAAATTCTACACATGAAACCCCATAATGACAACGTGAAAACATTTTTTGGGGAGATTTTTGCAAATGTATTACAAATAAAACACAAATAAATCACATGTACATAAGTATTCACAGCCTTTGCCATGAAGCTCAAAATTGAGCTCGGGTGCATCCTGTTTCCACTGGTCATCCTTGAGATGCTTCTACTGCCTAATTGGAGTCCACCTGTGGTAAATTCAGTTGATTTGACTTGATTTGGAAATGCACACACCATAAGGTCCCTCAGTTGACAGTGCATGTCAGAGCACAAACCAAGCATGAAATCAAAGGAATTGTCTGTAGACCTCCGAAACATGATTGGCTCAAAGCACATGTCTGGGGAAGGGTTCAGAAACATTTCTGCTGCTTTGAAAGTCCCAATGAGCACAGTGGCCTTCATCATCCGTAAATGGAAGAAGTTTGCAACCACCAGGACTCTTCCTAGAGCTGGCCGGCCATCTAAACTGAGCGAGAGGAGAAGGACCTTAGTCAGGGAGGTGACTAAGAACCCGATGATCACTTTGTCAGAGCTCCAACGTTCCTCTGTAGAGAGAGGAGAACCTTCCAGCAGGACAACTATCTCTGCAGCAATCCACAAATCAGGCCTATATGGTAGAGTGGCCAGACAGAAGCCGCTCCTTAGTAAAAGGCACATGGCAGAGTAAAAAAATTCTCTGGTCCGATGAGACAAAGATTGAACTCTTTGGCGTGAATGTCAGGCGTCATGTTTGGAGGAAACCAGGCACTGCTCATCACCAAGCCAATACCATCCCTACAGTGAAGCATGGTGGTGGTAGCATCATGCTGTGGGGATGTTTTTCAGCGGCAGGAACTGGGAGACTAGTCAAGATAGAGGGAAAGATGAATGCAGCAATGTACAGAGACATCCTGAATGAAAACCTGCTCCAGAGCGCTCTTGACCTCGGACTGGGGCGACGGTTCATCTTTCAGCAGGACAACGACCCTAAGCACACAGCCAAGATAACAAAGAAGTGGCTTCAGGACAACTCTGTGAATGTCCTTGAGTGGCCCAGCTTGAGCCCAGACTTGAATCCAATTGAACGTCTCTGGAGAGATCTGAAAATGGCTGTGCACCGACACTCCCCATCCAACTTGATAGAGCTTGAGAGGTGCTGCAAAGAGGAATGGGCCAAACTGCCCAAAGACAAGTGTGCCAAGCTTGTGGCATCATATTCAAAAAGACCTGAGGCTGTAATTGCTGCCAAAGGTGCATCAACAAAGTAATAATCAAAGGCTGGGAATACTTATGTACAGTATACTGTATGTGGTTTCTTAGTTTATTTATTTTTAATAAATTTGCAAGAATCTCAAAAAAACTTTTTCCATGTTGTCATTATGGGGTGTTGTGTGTAGAATTGTGAGGAAAAAAATGAATTGAATCCATTTTGGAATAAGGCTGTAACATGAAACAATGTGTAAAAAGTGAAGCACTGTGAATACTTTCCGGATGCACTGTACAAAATCCACTCCAAATACCCCTTTCCCAGTATGGATCCCAGGACGTTTTGTTTCGAGACGATAAGTTCCTTATCTGTATTTGACAGATTCATCTTACAACTAGGTCTGTATTTGTAATGCTGTTACAGGAGGCTGAAAGAAAGCTGTTATTGGGGCGGACTGAAGATGTAAAAAGCCTCTCTCCGCAGCGCTCTTTCCCGTCCAGGACCATCAGAAGAAACACTTCTCTCAGAGATACCAGAGGGAGGATGTTCAGCAGTAAACCTGAGACGCTCCTCTTCAAGGTCTAAGCCCAAAATGTCACGAAAAACTCTTAAAGAATTAGATTAGACATGAGCCTCTGTTTTGCAGGACTTTGAAGTGAAGCAGCGGTACAAGAGGAAGGTGGTTCTGACCAATGTGAGTTACAGCTCTAGTGAGTGCAGGCTCACGGGGCTGTCAGCCGCCCTCAGCAGCTGCATGTCTGTTAGGTACTGAAAACACACACACACACGCACATGCACACACACGCACACACCTTCATTCTAAAACTTTTTTAGCACTGAGGAGAGTTCCTGGTGACGAGAGGAGGGTGCAAATCCTACTTAATGAATTAGCCTACACAGAAATCATACTGAATATATGAGCCTACTTAGAAGTCAAACTGTTGAATGGTTTTCATGTAAAAATGCATTTACACCTACATTACTTTCAATGAGTGTGTTTCGAACATGTAGTCCTGCACACATGTAGTTCTACAAACCCTTGCAGCAGCTGGATGCTGGTTCCTTTATGTTCATTCCAGTCTTTCCTCTCCGGTTCTGAGATGTGAGTGACTTATTGTTGCCTCATCAATTCCTCCCACATCCAAGAACCATGGCAACAACAGAATGTGGGTCTGTTGTGGATTTGTTGTTCACGAGCGCAGGCTGAGGCCCTGAAGGCAACACGCTGAAATGCTAAAAACAGCGCATTCTGCTGAATACATATAACAACAATAGAACGTGATGTGCTGTCTCTATTCTGTGTTGTTTTTATTTAGACCTGCCCAAACACACGGTTCCTTCGATCTGTTCCAACTCAAATTACAGAAATATGTTATTGACTTCAGCAGTGACATCATCCGTCTGAATACATTGTGTTCAATACCACTTTTACATGAAGACAAATTCTGTGTATATCAATAGATAGATACTTTATTGATACCCGTAAGAGAAATTCAGGTGTCCAGCAGCAGAAACTCATCCATTCATAAAAACAAATAAATGCACAATTCTAAAAGTTACTAACAATAGTAATATAGTGCTACACACCGTGTTTGGAGTGAATGAATAATGACACATGTGAAGCGTCTTTGAGTGTCCAAAAAAGCGCTATATAAAACCGATGCATTATTATTATTAGTACTTTAGGTCACAACAGCTGAATAATTTTCAAAAACGATCTGTCACACATCGACACACGCACACGTTTGGCACTGGGCCCTCTTTTGATGAGCTGCTGCCACAACGTTGAAACTCGGGTCCAGGTGGCGACATTTGACATTTGCAGTGGATGATGGATCATACCTGGATGAATGGGGATTACACCGGTTTGTGATGGACTAATGTTTGGGAGGTTGAGAGTGTGAAACAATTTTGCATTTTAGTTTCATAGTTGGGTTAGTTTTGTTTCCTTTTCAACATGATGCTACAGTGTAAACCGGTGATCTACATTACTCAAGTCTTTATATAGGTCTGTGTGAGTCCCCAGTGCTCTGCTCTACTTTTCACACACTGCTCATGGCTCTAAGTTCTCATGTAGCTGTAGTTTTAGTTTAATTAGCAAGTTTTAACTGCCCCCAACAAGAAGATGAAGGCTGATGTGTTTCAGTATCATGCTGTGACAAGATGGGAGGCCAGTCCCTGTGCTTCTCAGAAACCCAGCAGGATGCCTGACCCTATATTCCTTAGGGACTTAGAGACTTAGAGTCTCAGCAGGAGGCTGGTCCCTGTGCTCTTGTGAGTAGGGTGAAAGCTGTAACTGCACTTGGAGACTGTACACGTACACTTCATTTAGTGTATACTGACTGTAGGTATGTACTTTAATCAGCAGTCCAGGTTTCAGAGCAGTATTTACACATTGGTACAGATCCTGTACATAAACAGTAGGTGATCAGTGGTATAGGTTCTGTACATGAATGGAAGAAGATCAATGGTACAGGTCTTGTACATGAACAGGCCATGTGCTAGTTCATGAAAGAGGTCTAGAATTTGACTTTCGTTCCAGGATTGTGGGTAATGCTTTCTTTTTTCTTTCTTTTAATCCACAAACAGAATCCCTGTTGTTAATGAAAAAAATGTTGTCAAAGTTGTGGTTTTGAGCGTGATGTACCATGTTTGGAGGTTTCTAAGCACAGAACAACCTAATTTCATCAAAACCAAATTACTTGGCCATAGAGATCACATCCAAAATTATATATTCCTGGAATATTGCTGTTATTGAAGAAATATTGTAATACCAAAAATTATTATGAAAAACAATGACATTCAAAATTGGACACTAAAATGGAAAAACTACCATAAACTGATTTTATGTCTAATGATTTTTTACTTTCGTTCAAATACCTCAAAGATAATATCACAAATAAATACTATGAATTGAAATGAATAATAATGCATTTCTAGATCTAAATATTGAAAAGTAATATAGCTAACTATTTACCCAAATAAGAAAAGAAAAGATAAGAAAATATGTATTCCACTGTACATACAGTACATAGACAATTATTTCAGTTTCTTTCCATTTTATGTTCCCAGTACTACCTCAACCCCCTGGATTTCTCCAAAAGGAAAGTGAAAACTACAATACTATTATGATCATTTATATTAATCCATCATTTTCATGTATATGCAATCATATTAACAACAAATGCTCACCCGGGCGACCCAGCCGGGGGTGATCAGTCCCCGGCTTGTGTCCAAGTAGCGCACCACGGATCCCCGTCACGGATCCACAGCCCCCGGGAAGCCTTTTCTGAGGCCTCAAGGATGTTCTTGATGGCTCTTCTTGACAGCAGTCCTCTACAGCCAAGGATTTTGATCACGCGCTGGAGTGAGTGACCTGCGAAAGCCCTACATCCAATCTCTACTGGTTCGCAACGGGCTCTCCAGCCATTGGTCCCGCACTCTGCTATGAGCTCTGAGTATTTCACCCTCTTTCGCTCATTTGCTGCGTCGATCCGGTCCTCCCAGGGAACTGTTAGCTCCAGTAGTACCACTTGCTTGGTTGACTCAGATGTTAAAACCATGTCTGGACGGAGTGCTGACCATCCTGCTGCGATGTTCTTCCTCCACCACTGAACGGATCTCGTCTTGTACCAGATAGCGCTTCTCCTTACGGGAAAATTCCCTTGCAGGTGCACCCCTCAAAAAGTTTTTGGCCTTACCACTGATGCCAAAAATTAATATGCATTAATCATCATTATACCCAATTATACATCCATTAGCTATAATAATCATTGACTGACTGACCATGCCACGCCCATGCCATGCAGTCAGTCATTGTTCATTGCACATCATGTTGCATTCATTGATTGATAAATGATGATTATGATAATCCTTTTTACAAACTTGACGTATAACGGGTCATTACTCACCCTCTGCCAATCATTTAAGTAAGTAAGTGATCGCTATTTATATAGGGCCTCTCACAGACCAGAGTCACAAAGAGCCCTACAATTGTTGTGGGCGTTTGTCTCTCGCTCCATAGAGATGGGAGCGGGGTCATCATACAGGAGGCGCATGCGTCTGTAGCTAGCTTAGGTCCTAGATCATTAGCCTGTCCGTCCGGAGGAGCGGATCCCTTTCTCAAATGGGTCGCCCTCCCTGTGGGTTTCCCTAGTTCTCCCCAAGGTTTCTCACTTTTTCCCACTGGGGTTTTTTAAGAGTTTTTCCTTGTCGATGCAGGAGGGTCTTGTTGGACAGTTAGTGTCCAACAGAAAGGATTGGTGATGATCAGGACACTTTAGCATTCTACAACATGTATGGACATTTTCTTCTGTGTGTGCTTTATATTCTTCATGTGTTTTAACTGTTGATTCTCTGACCTGTGTTGGTGATTTCAATGGTTTTGATAAGTCCTCTGAGATGACTTCTGCTGTGACCTAGGGCTATACAAGAATAAATTGTATTGTATTGTATTGTGTATGCCAGACCTAATGCACATGTTTTTAGTGGCTCTCTGACTTCTTGTGTTCATATTGTTATAAGCTTTCAGAAAACGTTGAAAAGCCCTATTTCCCATGACGTTGGAACGGAAGACAATAATATTTAATCTAGTAAAGTGGTAAAGTGTTTTGCCAGTGGAGTGGACACATTGAAGCACTGTATTGCACCTTCTTACAGTATTGCACATAATTGCTACAGGTGAATGGCACATGTACAGGCTCAGCTGTTCTTGTTGTACAGTCTGACAGCAGTAGAAAGGAAAGACATGCAGAACCTCTCCTTAAAACAGCGATGGAGGATCAATCTGTCACTGAAGCTGAACTGCAGACATAGTATACTGCAGAGGGTGCAGTCATGGTCTAGCATGTGAACTTGTCCAGGACCTTCCTGTCCCCCACTCTGTGTCCAGGGGGCAGTCCAGGACCCTCCTGCACACTCTCACACTGGCGCTACAGCGTGACATGATGTCATTTAAACCTGAGGAAGTGAGGATTCTGTGCTCACCCAAACTATCTTTATTTTGTATTTCAGCTTTGAACCTCCTGGTCCTCTGTCCACTGGGATGTCCTGTGACCTATATGTTGTCTTTCAACCACAGGTCAGCCTCTTTGTGTTCTAAAACAGGGGTCACAGGTCAAGGGCAGATGATGAGGGGCAAACTAGGAGGCTGACCTGTTCTATATCCCGAGGAGGCTAACCTTTGACCCCGGTTCTTGATCATGAGGAGGCTCCTCATCATCTGCCCTTCAGTGTCTGCCCCTAAGAGTGTGCCCTTCAGAGTCTGCCCTGTCCTGGGTCTTCCCCTAGTCTCCTCCCAGTCGGACCTTCCTTGAACACCTCCCCAGGGAGGCGTCCAGGAGATCTGATGGCCGACTGCTCCCTCTTCACCACAACACTTTATTTTATTATCTTTTCCATGAACGCAAACAAAGCTGAATGAAGATGTGGAGGGAGAGATCCTGTTTGCCACAGCATCTGGCCCCTTCTCTGTAAGGGTCATCTGCTCCCCCAAGAAGAGTCAGGTACGTCTCCTCTGTGAGGATTATCTGCTCCCTTAAGAATAGACAGGTACGTCTCGACCAGCCCGAGCTCGAGGCCGGGCTGGTCGTATCACAGCCGACCCCTCTCACCCTGCACATGGACTATTCCAACCACTCCCCTCAGGCAGGAGGCTGCGGTCCATCAGGACTAGAACCTCCCGCCACAAGAACAGTTTCTTCCCCTCTGTGTTGGACTCTTGAACACTTCTTAACCTGTCCCCCCGCCCTTTATAAAGTCACTTTACTGCCCATCATACGTCACTTTACTTCACTGTACTGCTGTCACCTTACATTGTGTGCACCATGTGCACTTGTATATTGTAAATAGTAACTGTAACTCTATTTTAAATTTAAATTTATTCTTTAGAAGTGTTTTTTATTCTTATTTTTATTATCTCTTTTTGACTATTGCACTGAGCCAAAGCAATTTCCAAGTCTGTGACCTCCTGTTACTTACGTGGCAATAAAAATTATTCTGATTCTGATTCTGATTCTGATTCTGATACGTCTCCTCTGTGAGGGTCACCTGCTCCCTCTAGAAGAGCTAGGTACGGCTTCTGACCAATCAGATATGACGTTCGCCTACGTCAGATTGTTTTGGCATCTACTCAGCCCGTCTAGAACCGGGGCCAAGCCGTTACTAAAAAAGCAAAAGGTAGTAGCTAAAGCAAGCCGTTGGAAACGCCCGCAAACCGGGGAGAGTCAAGTCGAGTAGAGTAGAGTCGGGCCCGTGGAAACGGCCCTTTAGTGGGCAGTGGATCATGGTCAGCTCTGACCTCATCATTGCCTTTGGTCAGCTCTGATGGTCAGCTTTGACCTGGACAATGCCTCATACATTCACTATGCGAGTCGGCATCCTTGGAATAGAGCATTGAGTGGAAACTCTGCTCCATCAATTCAAATCTGATCACATCCTTAATGAGCAGTGGCGACATACAAAAGGTAACCTGCAGCTCTGGGGGGGAAGGTCTCCTGGGAGACAGGGGGATTCTGCTGTCCCATTATAGCCTGAATGCTGTGTTGATTTGTCTGAGTGTATGTGGATGTGTGCAGGTGGAGGTGGACTCGGTGGATGTGGACTTGGGCTCATCTGTGGTGGGGGAGACTGTGACCCGCTCCATTACTCTTACTAATCGTGGAGCTCTGGGCTGTGAGTTCAAGCTGGATATGGGGGACCAGGGAGAGCAGAGGTCTGTCCCACCCCTCAGACCAATGGTAAGTGGGTTACTTAGTTGGTTATGTTAATTTACAAATGTGTTTGTGTGACATAACAGACATATCCCCTGGTAACTATGGTGAGTGTCAAAAGTGAGATTCTTGTGATGGGCAAACAACACCAAGGCTCAGGACCTTGTGTCTTCCTGATGCAATCTGCTTCAAAACATTCCATTGGAGCGTGTATCAAAACAAGCCGCTCACGTGACAAATGTGTCAGTGTCTCAGACTCTGCATCCACTGCTTCACTTTGCCTATCACTGTGTCGGTGTGTCAAAGCGTTGGTTAAGATCTGGTTACAATTTATGCTTTTAACGAGTCTCCTTGGTTAGCATACCCATAGACTGTAGTGGATAGGCGCTAACTAGCTACAGCATAAATTATGCTCAATGATCAATATTTCTTCAAAATGTTGGGTAGTGAGTGTTGTGGCGAGTTTCATATATTAGAATATATTGTACTAAAATTCACTGATACATTTGCAGACAAAGGCCGCTTGTCCTGCACAAAGAGGCCTTCACTTTCACATGACCTTCGCAGAGGCGACGGTACCATGTACCACTCCTTTGCTCGTTATAATGTTAAATGTTTGACAGGTGTACTATCATTCTTTTCCCCTCCCTTCTTTTACCTCGTCTTCCTGCATAACTCAACCCACCTTACCCCCACTGTGACATGTCTTGTTCTTTGTTCTAGCTTTTTGCAGGACTATATTACCAAATGTTAGATGTGAGCAGACCAGAGAGAGACGACGCAGGCTTTGAGTGTGCGTCGCTTCTGTCTGACTCTGCAGAGTTTTATTGTATTTGTTTATTATCATCACCTTTTCAATAAATTGCACAAAGACAAGCTGTTTTCTCTCGGATCCATTCATTGAAGTATTTAAATTTCCACTACATGAGGAGACAGAGTGTTGTATAGTGTTGGTGATTTTGGCAAACGCAGATTCATGGTTTGGGATCCTTTTTTATCTTATTGAAAATAACAAGGTGTTGTCTCAACAATGGGTTAACAAAAAGTGTTACCTACCATTTATTTTTCATGGTAAAATTGTCAGTATTATTAAAAGTGGTGCAGTGATTGCTGTGCACTCAAGTATTCAGAAGCTGCAATGATATATTTTTCCACTTGATGTCACGTCAGTGTTACAAGCTAGTACAAGCTAGCTCAGAGGCTCGGACACATTCAAAACGATCGGGCAGAAAAGCCTTGCTGTCTTACGGAGCTTCATCTGCCCATCACTATCAGCTTCTAGTCTTAGTTTGTTGGTTGACTCTCTCTGGTTTCTCTTTGTGAATATAATTATTTTCAAATACTGGTCTGTGTTTTTTTACACGTACATGTGGATAATTTGTTGACATTATCTGGAATATTTGTAGATTCACATTCTTTCATTTTTTCATTATTTCCTAGATGCTCAAGTCAGATTTACACACACGCAAACTCACACATACACGCACACACACACACACTCAATATATAAAAAATTGGTTGTTTGTGACGATAGGAAACAGACAGCAGTATGACAGAAGAGGATGAAGAGATGAAGACTCAACCAGAACCTGAAACTCAAAAGGGTAAATGCTACAGAGCAAAGGTCTGCACCACAGACCGTACAGTTTATACGTAGATGGACAGTGCTTACACGCTAGCTCAATGGAGCCCAACAGGGAAGTTTTGCAGCAACAGCGGCAAAACTTCTTTGTTGACTCCGATTGACTTACATTCATTCATCTATCTATTTTTTACTACAGAGCCCCCCGACCCGCTGGCTGACCCCTCAGGTGGCACGTGTGACCTGTGTTTGGGAAGTGTAAGTACTACAGAGACCCTTGACCAGCCGGCTGACCCCTCAGGTGGCACGTCTGACCTGTGTTTGGAAAGTGAAGTGCCTAATACTCTGTGGGAGAGGAAATCATATCATGCTCAGTGCTTTGTCCATTGTCTGGAGCTGTGAAGCACCACCCAATGTGTAACCTCTGCTTCTGTAAGTAATACAATTTACAATACAATACAATTTATACTTGTAAATCCCTAAATCACAACAGAAGTAATCTCAGTGGACTTAACAAAACCATTGAAATCACCAACACAAGAGAATCAACAGATAAAACACAGAAAGAATATACATAGAGTTTCTGTTCATGTAAGCATGAACAGAAACAACGCATATCTAAGGTCGTCTTTTCAACCTTAATTTTTTTACTGTACATAATACTGTATCTAGTCTATCTAATCTTATCTTATCTTATATACTTTGTAGAGCTATAAAGCGTGTGTCTGCTTAGTCTGTCATGTGTGTCTTGTTGCAGGTGACTGAAGGCTTCATTGGGCCTTTCCAGAGCATCAAACTGGAGCTGGCGTTCAAAGGCACCGTTCCTGGAGTCACCACACACACCGTCTACATCCACAGCTCAGACTGCAGCCGGCGGGTGAGCCCAGAGAAACACCTCACTCTCAGTCCAGTCCATGGAAATGAACAATTTTGATTTTTCAGTGTGAGCACATTGTGTCGTTCTTTGTGTGTGTGTTTGGAAGGAACAGTGTGTGGTTCTTTGTGTGTGTTTGGAGGGACAGTGTGAATTAACCAACAGCATGTGGGTTTGTTCTCAGTCATACTATCGTTGTACATATTTTAGTGGTAGGGGAAACCGAAGAACTCCTTAGCAGTATTAAACTGTGTGTGTGTGTGTGTATTTGTGTGTGTGTGTGTGTGTGTGTGTGTGTTTGTGCACGTTTCTACAGATCCTGGTCCAGGTGAAGGCCACAGTGGTCAGTGTGCCTGTGTGGGCCAGTCCCAGTGACGTGGAGATGAAGATCTGCCTGTGGGACGAGTGCTACCACCACTGCCTCTGTGTGCATAGCCGGTCAGAGACGCACACATGCACAGTGTCTAGGGATGCTATGATTGTCAATATTTAAATCAAAACAAATTACTCTTCATGTAAATATGTAAAGGCCAGAGCGTGCTCATGAGCTGCTAACCCTAACCCTTGTATTTGACAACTAGTAGCTCAAGAGAGCATTGTTGTCTGTATTACAGGCGTCACCCATCCTGTTTGTCTTTTTATGAAAGACAAATTCATTTTCATTCATACACTGGTTACTCACTATAATGCAGTTCACCTTTTAGGGCCTTTCTGTTTTGCAGATGCTTCCCATGCACAACATGCATACTCCAATAACATCATACAACATAATGTAAACCGCTATTTTTTGTGTGCACCGTGGTTATTAGTTCAGAAAACCTCTCTGGTCTCTGTCTCGTCTCCCTCCCTGGTCTATAGCTTGTCTCTCTCTGTTCTCCCTCGGGTCTTTCTCTTTGGTCTCTCACTCTGGTCTCTCTCAGGTCACTCTCTGATCTTTCTGGTCTCTCTCTAGTACTCCTCTGATCTTTCTCTGGGCTCAGCTTTACTTTCCTTTAGATTAAAAGGCTACTAATTTGTTCCATCATTCTTCTTGTCACTATTTTCTGTTTTCTCCAGAGCCAGCACAGCTCTAAGGCTGACATTTGAGGTGGCTCCAGGGCTGAGGAAGTACATGGAGGTAGTCCCAAAGACAGGCTTTGTCCAGGCCCAGTCCAGCTTCAAAGCCCTGCTCAAGTTCCAGCCCAGGTCAGAGCACATTGGACTGCAAATATTTATTCTAGTCATTCATCTAGTTTCATTATGACAACTGATGAACAGAACCACTGCATGCTTTACGTCAGCTTTATCTTAAACTGAGAACAAATTTGTTTTTTTAATCCATGCCTGGGAAGAATAATGGCTCGATTAATTAATTATTCGGTTCTTGCTGTTGTGTTGTGTTGTGACTTCTGTCCTCTGCTAGCCTGGCCTTGTGCATGTTCATGTCCTGTCTCGTCCCTAGTCCTAGCTTCTGAGTGGGGCCTGTGACATTCGAGTGACCAGCCACAGTCCATGCTCATCAGGACAAGGCTTGGGTTTCAATCCTCCAGATCTCAGCAGGAGGGTCATGTTTCCAGGTCACAGTCCAGCAGTGATTCTGAGAAGGCTCAAACTGAATGTAGCGTGTGCTGTGTCACTATGCCTATAATCCTCAGAGGGAGACAGATTAAGCAGAATGTTCAGATTGGTGCTGATTACAACAGGCAGAACAGCCACCCAGCCGGCAGGAACTCATATCCCTCTGACCACACAACTCTTTCATATTTATGACATCATTACTGTATTTCTGCTGCTGGCACATGCATACACACCCGCTGATCTCCTTAATCTGCCTTGTAATCCTTTTCATAATCACGCTTTAATGGGAGTGGGATGTACGGGGTCGAAAGGGGCAGATGGAGTGAGGATCATTCATAGATCCGGAGGTGGAAAAGGCTGCCCTATAGCCAAATTTCTTTTTATGAAGTAATGAGGTATGTGTGTGGTCAGGATGTCGGAAACTGTCATTTCACACATTGAAAAAAAAAACAGGTTTTCCATTATCGCTTTATAGTTATAACTCATGATCCAACGTCTGATATGGATAAAATCCCAGTAAAGAAACTGAAATAACAACACAACTGTGTATGAGTGAAACTCAACTCTGATGTAAACTGTCTTCTACAGTTTTTAAAAATGGCCCAATCAGAAGCAAGCTGATCAATGAACTAATAGATCCATCAACATTTCCAAGAAACCCAATGTTCAAATGTAGTATCATAGCGGTGTCTTTGAAGTTGGGATTTTCTTGCTTTGTCATCTTCTTTACTCAATGCATGTAACTAGGGCGACAGTGGCTCAGTTGGTGAAGCATTGGTCTTTGACCTTGAAGGTTGTGGGTTCGAGCCCACCGCGAGATCTTTCTCCACCGACTCCACTGCTGTTGTTGTGTCCTTGGCCAAGACACTTAACCCACTTTGCCTACAAGGAGCATCGAAGTAAATTTCAGTGCATTGATGTGTATGTCCTGTATATGTGGAACAAATACAGTATCTTCTTCTTAAGAATGTCATATTTTGGGAAAGAATATGTTGCTTGTTTAGACCTTTAAGTCGTGGATTCTCCAACAACAGATTATAGAATCAAACAGTTTGGTCACAGGAAATAGAAAAATAACGGGAGCGGGATGACCGCTGTCCAGAAATGAAGGAATGACTCAGAAACTCATAGGGAACATAATGATTAACATTGGGGAGGCCCATATTAAGGCTGTCGAGGCTCCCTGGTCGGGAGATGGGTTCAGCCTCAGCTCATAACAGGTTTGCATTGCAGCATTTGATAATGCAATTAACACAGATTTTAGTGCCGTATATGTTTTATTTTGATTTTGATTAATATTAGCAAATAAAAAATCACTTTATGATTGTGAATAATAAAGAAAAAAAACAATAACAGAAAGAATAGGTGTTCTATTAAAATGAGACTATTCCAAGCACTGTCCTCTGTCTTCTCAGAGTGTTGGACCTGACCCCTCATATAGTTCTGAACCTGTCCCCTTAGAGCCCTTTCCTCTTAGAAGTCTGAGGAATATCAATACTGTATTGTCAAGCTTAAAATAAGTTAAATTCTGGTTGTAGATATACCACGTGTAGCATATGTGACCTTGCATGTTTTTGTTTAAGTTACACATTAGTTTGAACTCAGATAAATATCTGTCTCACTACAGACTGTCGTGCCAGATGATCCTGAATGTGACAACAGTGCTGCCCTCTAGAGTAGACAGAGTGAAACGAATGAAAGCTCAAAAGTATGCAACATTAGAGGATTACAGATGCTTCACTCTCATGTGTCACTACTGTACAGAAGGAGAGGGGGGGGGGGGTTGTTTTTGGCCCTGAAGTTCATACTGTAACATCAGCATGGATGGAGCTGAAAGCAATTGCATGTCTTTTTTAATGAGGAAATATGGTCAAAAATCAAACAAAAACATCTAAATATGTCTCCATTTAAGGTTCTTATATATGAAATGTTCTTTGCGGATTATTTCCTCTTTATTCAAGATTCTTGTAACATCCCTGAACTGTCTTCAAACCAGTAAAATACTGTACAGTATACGTTAGTGATGGTGGAGGCGGTGTTTTGCAGTGCACTTCGGCAGATGGCTGGTTTGTGTGCTCCTGCTGCATTTCTCCTGCTCCTGCTAGAGCTCAATATGGAGCATCTCTTCTGAAGCTGACATTAGCTCCTCTCTCCTGTAGCTCACATTAGCTCCTATGGCCACATCATGTGTTTGCACTGTTAACTTTACGCACACCGCCAAATGATCCGATAGTGTTGTCATTGAATTATGTTTCCACAGACGCTCTCTTGTAGAAGAGGCAGGGAAGATGTTCGACCAAGACACAGGCGTGCTGGAGACCCCTGTGGAAGTACATGTGGCAGGACAGGTCTGTACGCACGCACGCACGCACGCACGAACACACGCACACACACGCACACACACACACAAACACACACGTTTGTGTTTGCACCATAGACTGTATACAGTAATATTTACGGACGTAGTCACGCCTACTGTATCTCCGCCGTTCTAACTAATGGGCCAAAAATGTGCTCTACTGGAGCTGGCCAAAATGGCAGCGAGTGGTCCCGCCCACAAGAAAATTGTGAAAAAATGCATCTGCGCATGCGTCAGCCGGCACAAGCTCCATTCATTTGAACAAGAGACTTCAAAAATTCACAGCAAGTGGTCCAAAAAAATTCACTCCCCTCAGCATTGACACACATGTGGAACGGAGCTTTGGGCCAAGAGCCAACTTTTGGACCATCCTGTAAAGACTTTTTTGAGAGGTCTGACAATGCTATATGTTAGCATTGGCTAATTCTTCTTCCGGGTCCACCCCCATCGGCCCGGGCTGGTATTGCAAGCATGTCAGAGCACATAATTTTGGCCACTTTTGAGCCGGGACCCGCCCCCACTGGTTTGCAAATGGGTACATGTGTGTTTACATCAAGCAGGTGTGTGTGTAGTACACTCCGAGCAGGTATGTGTGTGTACACTCTGAACAGGTGTATGTGTGCAGACTGTACGTGTCACGGTCAGTGCTGTGCTGACCTGCAGTGACCTGACCTTGGACACACAGGAGCTGGACTTTGGCCCATGCTCAGTGCACCAGGCCATCCGGAGCAGTGTGTACCTCAGCAACATGTCCCTCCTGCCCCAGGACTATGGCTTCTGCAGGGTTCCTGAGGTAACACACCCACCACCCGTGTTCGAGGTAAAACACCCATCACTGGGTGTTTTACAAGCAACAAGATCTTATAAGAGATGCGTCACACCATCACATGCCGCCAAAACATGTCAGGTAATTAAGCAGTTCTAGCTTCTTTAAATGTTTTGTCTTATTAAAAGAACCTCCTAAGCCTTAAACATTAGAAGACAAAATTAACTTTTTACATCATTAGCACCTCATTTCAACGCAACAAAACACTGTCATGACTCACTACAGGACCTAAATACACACAGCTGTCACTACAGCGGCCTACGCACACAGCTTGTTTGTTACACAGAGGTGATGTGTGTTACATAGTGGTTCTGTCTTTGTGTGTTGCACAGTAATGTGATTGTGTGTTTGTATGTTGCACAGTTTTTGGAGGTGCTGCCTCATGACGGCTTTGGCACACTGCTCCCACAGGAGACTCGAAGACTTGACGTAGTCTTCAGACCCAGGAGAGCACAGGACTACAGCTGCCAGCTCTACTGCAGGACAGGACTGAGCCGGTACTCACCAGTTTCTCTGTAAATACTGTGGGGATGTTTGATGATGTAATATCTCACCAAACCATCTGTTTATACTTGTGGAATGTTAGTGACCCGTGATCTCTCTATCATGAGACCTCTCATTGCTCTGAGGAACATGTTTGTGGTTTGTCAGGGAGCTGAAGCTAGCCTGCAGAGGGATAGGAGTGCGCCCTCCTCTGAAGCTCTCTCACACTTCGGTACAGTTTGGAGCGACAGTGGTTGGTCATGTTTCCTCTGCTCTGGTTCACCTGATCAACACTGAAGCACTCCTTTCCGCTGCTGGGCCCCGTCTCTTCAGCTTCCAGGTGCCTGACCACTCCATGGTCAGTGTGTGCCCCTGCACCGGCCAGCTTCAGCCTGGAGAGGTACACTTACTTTCTTAAGATTTATAATTCTTATACTTTCTCACTTCTTCAGTACATGAAGTACAATATCATGTGTTTTCTATCCCAGCACTGTTTGATCCAGCTGACGTTCAGGCCCTCACTGTGTGAAGCAGAGAATGGCTCAGACACAGGGACTCAAGCTGAGGTACTAATGTTACTGCTACTGCTACTACTGCTACTGCTACTGCTAAACCTCCAGTCTCAAGGTGTGCAAGGCTGGTAGAGACAGACCACCACAGACTCACAGTATTGACTCAGGGTGATAAATAATTTTGCACACCCCATTTTTCAGGTTAGGGTTAGGGTTAGTCTCTGCTTGTCCCTGATTGTGGCTCCAGCGAACCACACGGTGATGGAGGAGGTGAGGATATTTATTTGAATGGGACAGTGCATGTCAATGAACAAACACATTAAAAACATGAATGTAAACATGCCAGATTATAGCCAAAGGCTAATTTCCATCTGTAGTCCCATAAGGTCAGGGTCACACGGGTCAAATACAGCAACATCTACAGAAACAAAAGAGGAAAAAAACAAAACAAAAAAAACAGCTTGCATTCCGCTCCAGGCCACACTTTAGTAGTCCACCAAAATCCACAATGTTAGAGTAGAATAGACTAGATAGCAGGATAGACTCATAGAGATAGAGATAGAGATGATGGCCGTGTAGAACTGCACCAACACCTGTGCAGGCAGCTTGGCTTTCCTGTGCTGCCGCAGGAAGTACATCCTATGCTGATGGTTGGCGCCCAATTGAGATCCTGGTTGATGGTGGTGGCCAGGAAACAAAAGGACTCCACAGAGGTGATGGGGGAGTCCATCAGGGAGGGCGGGGGCGGGAGGACTGTGCAATACCTGAAGTCTACAATTCTCTCCACTGTCTTCTTCAGAGAGACCAAAGAAATTCTTCCCCAGAGGCACATGCTAGACATCATCTAGACAATCTGTTGGCTCTGTAGGCGAACTGTAGAGGGTTCAGGAGGGATGAGGTGAAGGACTTGAGGTGGGGGAGGACCAGGCGCTCAAATCAAATGACTTCATAACTACAGTCAGTGCCATGGGTCTGTAGTCAGTAAGTCCCGTGATCCGGGTCTTCTTGGGAACAATGACAGAATATTTGAAACAGGCCGGGACGTGGCAAGACTCCAGCAACGTGTCAAAGATGTCAGTGAAGACTGGGCTCAGCCTTGAAAACAGTCGTCTGGTCTCCTCCAGAGATGCTATTGTCAGGGGGCGGGGATGATGAGGAGCTGAGGGGTGAGGTGTCAGGAACAACATCAAAGCGGCTGAATAACAGGTTAAGCTGCTCAGCCAGTTTGCGGTCATGAGCACAGTGGTTTCTCATTGGTGATCAAAAGAAGCCCCCTCCAGACAGTCAATCATACATTCCTATGTTTGTGGTCTGATCATCTGCAATTAAGGGGAGTGGATACTTACTGTATGCCAGATTTTGCGTGTGTGGACTGGGTCGTCAATGTCTCCGCTTCAACTGCTGCCCAGTCTTCTCAGCACCATGCCACCATGGATCCCTCTGTGAGTGGTGAGTCCACAGGAGGGCTTGCCCACGCGGTCCTTTCAGGCTGAGCCCGTCCGGGCCCCGTGGGCTAAGGCCCGGCCACCAGACGCTCGCTTTTGAGCCCCAACCTTAGGGTCTGGCTCCAGGGTGGGGCCCTGTTGCGCCATGCTGGGCGACGTCACTGTTTTCAATGTAGTGCTATCCATGGATGGCTTCGGACTACGCTTTTTCTCGTCACCCAAGTCAGGTTGGACCAGGGGCATAAAGCCCCAGACAACATAGCTCCCAGGATCATGCGAGTACTCAAACTCCCCCACCCCGTTAAGGTGGCAGTCATGGTCATGGTAGTTTGTCCAACCTGTCCACATGTGCTTTGTGGATTTGGAGAAGGCGTTCGACTGTGTTCCCCTGGGTGTCCTTTGGGGGGTTCTTCGGGAGTACGGGGTCCGGGGTCCTCTGTTGAAGGCCGTCCGGTCCCTGTATGACTGGAGCCAGAGCTGCTTTCGCATTGCCAGCAGTAAGTCAGACCTGTTCCCGGTGCATGTTGGTCTCCGCCAAGGCTGCCCTTTGTCACCTGTTCTGTTCATTGTCTTTATGGATAGAATTTCTAGGCACGGCCAGGGGCCGGAGGGGGTCCGGTTTGGAGACCACAGGATTTCATCTCTAATGTTTGCGGAACATTTTGTCCTGTTGACTCCAACGAACCAGGACCTGCAACATGCACTGGGACAGTTTGCAGCCGAGTGTGAAGCGGCTGGGATGAGAATCAGCCCCTCCAAATCTGAGGCCATGGTGCTCAACCAGAAAAAGGTGCCTTGCCCTCTCCAGGTGGGTGGAGAAGTCCTTCCTCAAGTTGAGGAGTACAAGTATGAAGAGGGAGCTGAGCCGAAAGGCAAAGCTCTAGATTTACCAGTACATTTTTGTTCCCTCCCTCACCTTTGGTCATGAGCTTTGGGTAATGACCAAAAGAATGAGATTGCGGATACAAGCGGTCAAAATTAGTTTCCTCCGCAGGGTGGCTGTGCGCTCTCTTAGAGATAGGGTGGGTGCGGAGCTCAGTCACATGGGAGGAGATCCGAGTAGAGCCGCTGCTTCTCCACGTTGAGAGGAACCAGTTGAGGTGACCCAGGACACGCTGGAGGGACTATGTCTCTCAGCTGGCCAAGGAATGCCTTGGTTTCCCCCCGGACAAGCTGGAGGAAGTGTGTGTGGATAGGGAAGTCTTGGCGTCTCTGCTTCAACTGCTCTTCCCACAACCCGGCAACGGATGAAGCGGAAGAAAATGGATGGATGGTCCCAGGATTGACCCCTGTGGGTCCTACTACTACAACTACCACTACTACTATTACTACTACTACTACTACTACTACTACCACTACTGCTACACCTATTGCTACTACTGCTTCACTTACTGCTACTACTGCTACTACCGCTTCTGCTGCTGCTGTTACTACCGCTTCTGCTGCTGCGGCTGCTACTACCGCTTCTGCTGCTGCTGCTGCTGCTGCTACTACTACTGCTGCTACTACTACTTATCCTGCTACTGCTACTACTACTACTACTACTACACATAAGGTTCAATATTATATTTAAGGGCCAACATATATGTATCAACAGGTATCTCCAGCAGAGGGCAGCAGAGCAGTGCAGCGTGAGAGCCCTGCAGGGCTGCCTCAGTAAGTTTCCTCACTATGGATGTATGATATTATGTGTATGTGAAGGGAGTTTAAACATGTCTCCACATGCTAGAGCCACCCGCAATATTGCAGTCTAAATCCACAAGGCTCACAGGAGATTTCCCTATAGACAGGGGTGCACATAAGTGGTACGCAGGTACGCATGCACGACAAATATCAGAAATGCGTACTATCACTTGAAGCACCTTTGCCTACTTCACATAGACCAGTCCTTCTCAAATAGTGGGGCGCTCCTCCCTAGGGGGTGTGGTGCAATGCAGAGAGGGTGTGCGTGATTGCGGGGCACTTGCTGCTGTTTGCTGTTGTTTGCTGTACGTACTCGAACGGGATTCCAAATCCTCTGTGGCAGCAGCGTTCTGACTCCAGAGCCACTCAGGCCACTTTGTAATGACAGTGAAGGCTTACAGCCCACCCACTGACTTTGAGCGAGTTATCCACCTTTTTATTTCATCTAGATTAGATAACTGCAACTCGTTGTACTGTGGTCTGGACCTCAGCTCATCAAAGCGACTTCAGCAGGTGCAGAATGCTGCTGCTCGCTTACTCACGGGGACACGTAAACAAGAGCACATCACCCCTGTGCTGGCCTCACTTCACTGGCTCCCTGTTACTTTCAGGGTTGATTTTAAGATTCTGATGCTTGTTTTTAAGTGTTTGAATGGTTTGGCCCCTGTGTATCTGTCGGAGCTGTTATCTCTGTATGCTCCTGTCAGATCAGTGAGGTCAGAAAACCAACTTCTGTTGAACGTACCCCGGTCTCGTCTCAAAACTCGTGGAGGCCGAGCCTTTTCTTTTGCTGCCCCCAAATTGTGGAATAATCTACCTCTGTCCATTAGAGCAGCTCCTTCATTGGAAGTTTTTAAATCTAGTTTAAAGACACATTTTTACACCTTGGCTTTTAACACCGATTGAGTTTTACCATTTATTTTTTACATTTTTTTTTACATGTATGTACTGGCACCCCCACTCCCAAAAATAACAATTGTAAACCGCTTTGAGACTCCAATGTGCAGTGAAAAGGCGGTATATAAATAAAGATTACATTACATTACATTACATGTGTGTGTATTTCATGCTGTTTTGTTTTGTTTTTATCTCTCGTGCCCTGTGAAGCACTTTGAGCAGCTGGTGTTGCTGAATATGTGCTATACAAATAAAATTGACATTGACATAATATTGTTGGTTGTGCCCAAAAGTAAAATGTTGTGAACAAATCAAACAGAACATTGTTTTGATTTTGTATTGCATTTTTAAGAAAGAGCCCTGTGAGTCATTACTTGACTTGAATTAGGGCTGGGCGATATGGCAAAAAAGTAAAATCTCAATTTTATTTCCTGCTTTGGACGATTTCGATTTTAAATCGATTTTCATTAAAGTCACTGAAGACAGACTTTGCCCTTAAACATATGTTTTGATCTTTCCGCTCAATATTCAAGTTTAAAATATGTTTTAATTTGTTTCCCCCAATACGTATTATAAAAGTCTTGTAGAGACTGTGCTGATATTGCAATTCATGTGCTGCTGGAACTCTCACAATATCCTTCATTCAATGTAACGATTTTCATATTTTTCACATTCAATTTTTTCAAAAGCCGATTAATTGCCTAAATTTGATTTATTGCCCAGCCCTAACTTGAATTGAGTGGATTTTCTGAGCTGATCTAAACTTTAGCATCGAAAAGAAGCAAGTATAAAATCTCGATAAAGAACCACTCGACAATGGAGTGAGTACCAAACACCATCTCCTGGGACTCATCTGAGTACCTCACTGAAATAGTTATGTGCACCCCTGCCTATAGACCTCAGTGTTAACGGCTTGTCCTCAGCCGAAAGCGAGCTACAGCTGCCACAAAGGAGGATTCTGTGGGGAATTTTGTGTCCCTTGTGTCATGAACTGTATTTCTTTTGAAATCAATCGGTTTTCTTTAAATTGGCTCGCTCTTGTCCCGCTGTTAGTGCCCAGAGTCAGAACTAAACATGGGGAGGCTGCTTTTCAGATTCATGCTGCTAAAATCTGGAACAATCTTCCTGAAGATGTGAGACAGGCCTCCTCTCTGACAATGTTTAAAACCAGGTTAAAAACGGTTCTGTTTAGCTGTGCATACAACTGAGGGATTTTATATTTTTATCTTCCTTTTTAATGTTCTGTGATTATTTATGATTTTAATGCTTTCTTGTTTTGTTCAGCACTTTGAGTTGCCTTGTGTATGAATTGTGCTATACAAATAAACTTGCCTTGCCTTGCCTCTTGCTCTGCTCTGATTTGCACTCTGATTGATCAGAACGCTCACATCTCCCTCTCTGGACTTTCTCTGGTCTCTCTCTGGGAGAGCCAGAGCTGGCCAGAACGAATGAGCAGAGATCTTGGAGACCGGGGCAGACATTTTTATTTATTTATTTAATATGGAGCAGGGGTCTTGGAGACCCAGCAAAGACATCTCAAAGTATAACCACTTTGAGATGTCTGAACGTCAGCCATACCTGCTTATACCATCTTGTCTTTTGCAGAGACTGGCATGTAGCCTCACTTCTATCAGTTTGCCCCAGGTTAGCTGTGGTTCACAACCACAGAGCGTGGAATGAGTGAAGGCTCATGTGTAAAGCCTTCAAAATTAAAGCTGTGTAAAGCTGTCAAAATTATCGCGTTAATTCACGTTAATTACCGTTTTAATTAACGCGTTAAAAAAAAAAAAATTAACGCATTAACTGCCATTGACGTGTTAAGACGTCAATTGCGTTTCCCGCTATTTTCACGTTCCCAGATGTCTATTGTATCAAATATGTAAGGCTTGAGGCAATATTTTATCGAGCCAGCAGATGGCAGCATTGATCTATGAATGGTTTGAAAACAGCTAGAAGCTAATTAAAAGATAATAAAACGTACCTCTACTCGACTGGGGATTACAGGGGAACGAAACAAGCTAGAAACTAAATTATTTTTGCTGATGAAAGTAGACAGTCCATTCTTTCAGAATTTAGATAGTCATAGTACACAATATTCTGTGGGTCTTAAAAATTCAGTAAAAATCATCAGAAACAGATGGCAATATGGGAGTTCTGAAATAGGCGGGCAGTCAATCACATGTCCGAATGCCCCGCCCATTTATAAAAAATATCAATCAGAATGCCGTGGACACGTGCGTGTGTGTGATGGTGACAGCGGTAACGTGGTCATATAATACACGCATATATATATATACGCACAGGGGCCATTCTCTGATGTTGTGTGACACACGGAGGAGAGGAGGAGACATGCTGAAATGCAACCAAACTCGCAAAATTAAAGCTGGGGTACCTACATTTTCCCTTTCATTAACAGCTCTTGTTGATTGTACCCAAAAGTAGAAGGTTATGAGCAAGTCAAACAGATTTAAGTACATTTGGTATCAATAACAATGTGTCATTACATTTGAAAATGTCATTTAACTTCAATTGGAGTGGATTTGAAATAGAATGTTGAAAATGCGATTAATCGTGAGTTAACTCACCATTACTATGCGATTAATCAACAAAAAAAATTTATCGTTTGACAGCCCTAGTAAACACACAATATTGTCAGTAGAAAGTCTCTGAGTTTTACATTTACCACTTAACTGTAATGTGTGTGTGTCTGTGTTCAGGAGTCAGCACCATGGGCACCTCACCCTGACCTGCTGTGTGTCAGATGCTACCTCTGGGAGCTCAGAGCAGGCCCCTTCCTGGAGGTACTATGTCAGGGGTCATCAATAGTCAGGGCTCATCAGATCAACTGATTATTAGGGTTCATCAGGGATTGTCAGGGTGATATCATCATCTGTCTTGTTCTCAGCCCCTTGAACATGTTGTGGTTGATGCTGCAGTACCCTATCATACAGCCCCCTCTGCTGGTGACCAGTGGGACTTCAGTGACCTTCCATCCTGTTGCAGTCGGTAAGTACCCCTGGGGAATTCTGGTTTTCTCTCAAATAAATGAATGTTATAAATGTTAAAGAGTGTGTTCTTTCAGGAGAAACTGCCCTGCACAAGTGTTTCGTTCAAAACATTTCTGAGGAGTCTTTAGATGTATCCTTTGAATGAACATTACATAAGACCGGAAACCCTTTTTTTTTTTAAATGATTTAAAATGTCTTCTTACTTATTCAAATAACTTCCATTATTATTATTATTTTTTTTAAACATTCTAGTTTATGACAAACTCTTAAAAGGTTCACTCCATAAATAATCCAAATAACAGTTAAATCCTTGAAGTATCAGATATTTGTTTTAAGGCTGTAAAACCCCTGACCACACACAAGACACTTTTCTAAACCCCTAAGTCACAACTGCCGAAGAGAGAGACCAGAGAGAGTCATGTTACACAAGCATTTATATGATGTTGTATGATGTTGTTGGCGTATACAGTACACACAGCACATGAGAAACACGCTGGGGGAAAAAAAAAACATAATTACACAAAGAGATCTGAGAAACAGTGAAAGGTGAACCGTGTTCTAGTAAGACCGCAGTGTAGTTTTGTTTGTCAGAATATACACTCACCGGCCACTTTATTAGGTACACCTATGCAACTCCACTTTAATGCAAATTCCTAATCAGCCAGCTGTCTCTGTAGATTGGAGGATTTTCTCCCAGTTAAGTGGTAAGATCCCTCTGCTGGCATTATACTATACAAATATGACCAAATGACTGGAAAATCTTTAGATTTTTTTTTTATGTAATCATCTTCACTTGGTTTTTCACAATATTCAATTCCATTTCAATCTCAATTTATTCTTGTATAGCCCTAAATCATCAGAAGGTATCTCGGAGGACCCTACACAACCGTTGAATTTGCCAAGACAGCTCAGAGAATCAAACCGTTCAAACACAAGAAATCCAATGAAAGAAAACACATTGGTGTTGGTCCATAAGAGGCAGATGACCAATGTCGATAAATGTTTATAAATGTCCATAAATGTTGTTGACAGTCAAGATGGTTGAATTTTTTTAATTGCTTGGGACTAGTGACTGATGATCATTCATTCATTCATTCATTTTCGTCCCCTTTATTAGTCAATTTCTGGGTCGGTAGGTGGCAATCCCCTCTGTGGTTTAGGGTTAAGTCACTTTTGTGGTTCAGGGTTAGGGTCACTTCTGGGAAAGTAGACGTGTCTCTCCTTAACCTTGCTCTCTAGTTGGGCTCCTCACTGCTCTCTGTGGAGGGGGCATTCTCCGTGGTGAACGCCCTGCGGCCCCTCGCACCTGGTCACACTCACACACTGCTGCTGAGCTTCTGCCCAAGGAAAGCCATGAAGGTCAGTGTGGAGCCATGAAGGTCAGTGTGGAGCCATGAAAGTCAGTCTGGAGTCTGGAGCCATGAAGGAGCAGGTACAACAGCAGCTGTGGAAATGAATTTTAGTAATTCAATTCATTTGCACAGTCATTGTGGCCTAAGGTTTCTCCAAGTCGTCACCAGCACATTGAATGTTTATGTCATCAGCAAACAGGATGATTTCAATTTCTCTTCATTTATGTACCGTGGTATGAAACGATTTGGATACCCCTATCAATTTGTATGATTTTTCTTTATACATTTTTTTGGATAAGAAATCAGTTAAATATATCAAGACAAGACAAACACAGTGATATTTGAGAAATGAAATAAAGTTTGTATCATTTATAGAAAGTGTGCAAGATTTATTTAAACCAAATTAGGCATCTGCATACATTTATTGATTTCAACACCTTTAGAATTAATTATTGGAATTCAAAATGTGTTCCACCTCTTTGCATCTTTCTGAAGAGTGGCAACATGGGAGCCTCAAAACAACTCTTAAATCACCTGAAAAGAAAGATTTTTAAATATCATGGTTTAGGGAAAGGATACAAAAAGCTATCACAGAGATTAAGGCTTTCAGTGTCAATTGTGAGAAACATTGTGAGGAATTGGAAGATCACAGGCACAATTCTAGTTCAGGCCCGAAGTGGAAGACCAAGAGATATCTCAGACAATCAGAGGCACAGGATGGTGAGAACAGTCAGAATCAGAATCAGAATAATTTTAATTGCCGTGTAAGTGACAGGAAGTCACAGACCAGAAAATTGATTTGGCTCTTGCAAACAGGTCAAAAGTAGAGAATAGAATCAGGCATAATAAAAATCTCAATTTATTTATAAAATATGACAATTAAAATTATTAAAATTATTACTAAGTGTACTCTGTGCACCGTCACCGGCAGTAAAGTTATGTTATAAAGGCCAGTAAAGTGACTTCACAAGGGGATGGGGACAATGTTATGATGCGTTCATGAGTCCAAAAGTAGACGAGAAGAAACTGTTCTTATGATGGGAGGTTCTGGTCCGAATGGACCAGAGCCTCCTGCCTGAGGGGAGAGGTTGGAACAGTCCATGTGAGAGGTGAGAGGGGTCAGCAGTGTTACGACCAGCCCGCCCTCGAGCTCGGGCATTGTACGACATGTACAATGCAGCAATGGGAGGCTGGGGCCAATCACCCTTTCCACAGAGCACACGATGCGCTGAAGTCTCTGCTTGTCCCTGACAGTGGCTCCAGCGAACCACACGGTAATGGAGGAGGTGAGGATGGATTTGATGATAGCCGTATATAGAACTGTACCAACATCTGTTCAGGCAGCTTGGCTTTCCTAAGCTGCCTCAGGAAGTACAACCTCTGCTGGGCTTTCTTGATGAGGGAGCTGATGGTCAGCTCTCACTTGAGGTCCTAGGTGATGGTGGTGGCCAGGACACAAAAGGACTCCACAGAGGTGATGGGGGAAACCATCAGGGAGTGCGGGAGGACTGTGCTTGTCCTGAAGTCTACAATCATTTCTACTGTCTTCTGGGCGTTCAGCTCCGGGTTGTTACCACTGCACCAGGACACCAGTTGGTCCGCCTCCCTCCTGTAGGCGGACTCATCGTTGTCACAGATTAGTCGAATGTGGGTGGTGTCATCCACCCTCTGACTGGAGGTGCAATGGTTGGTGTACAGTGGGAAGAGCAGGGGAGAAAGAACACAGCCCTGTGGGGCTCCTGTATTCAGAATCAGAGAAATTCTCCAGATGCACACGCTGCTTCCTGTTAGTCAGGGCTTGTAGTTTGTGATCTGCCATAGGCCCTTACAGAAGGAGGGTTCCTGTCTGCAAACTGCTGCTCTAGACACTCTGTGCTGGGCATTAGCTGCTCTGAATTCATTCCTGAACTGGTATTTAGCCACTTTGTAGCCGCTGCCGTCCTCATCTTTGAAGGTCACTCTTTACATTTTCTGAGCCCTGCGGCCTCTCGCACCTGGTCACACCCACACACTGCTGCTGAGCTTCTGCCCAAGGAAAGCCATGAAGGTCAGTCTGGAGCCATGAAGGTCAGTGTGGAGCCATGAAAGTCACTCTGGAGTCTGGGGCCATGAAGGAGCAGGTACAACAGCAGCAGAAATGGAAATTAATTTTAATAATTCAATTCATTTGCACAGTCACTGTGGCCTAAGGTTTCTTTACAGAAGGAGGGTTCCTGTCTGCAAACTGCTGCTCTAGACGCTCTGTGCTGGGCCTTAGCTGCTCTGAATTCATTCCTGAATTGGTATTTAGCCACTTTGTAGCCGCTGCTGTCCTCCTCTTTGAGGGTCGACTCTTTAAATTTTCTGAGCTCTTCTGAGGAAGAGAATGTTTCGTAGCTGTAAATGACCCTGGACCTTACTGGCATTATGCTATCCTAGAGTCAACCCACAGACCAACACCAAAGACCAACAACATCAGCTGCAGATGGTGTCACTGTGCAAAGCCTTTTCTATGCACACGCCACAAATAGTGTCGCTTGAGATATGTTGAAGACATTTGGACAACCCAGCTTTATTTTGGAAAAAGGTTCTAATAAGCTTTACTTTGGAATAAGGTTCTAATAATCTTTACTTTGGAATAAAGTTATTTGGGCATAACAAGTCAAATTAAGATATTTTAGTTATTATTAGTTATTTTTTTCTATTGTCCCAGCAGTGAAATTTGTCCTCTGCATTTGACCTATCCTTCAATGCCACTATAGGTGGCCACTATAGGTGGCATTGAAGAATGCTGCAGTGCAGCACCTAGGGACACATCTCTAGATGTTGAGGCTCGGCTTGGTCAGGACCAGAGCTGGAGGATTTTACCTACAGTATTGTTTTTAGTGGTAAGGGAGTATTTTAAGTGTTATTTCTGCAAAAGGAGTATGTAGAAAATACTGAGTTGATTTTTATTTTGCCTAAATTTATGCAGTTGCCTAATTTGTTTTGAATAAATCTTGCACACTTTCTGTAAATGACACAAACTTTATTTGACTTCTCAATTAGCACAGTGTTTGTCTCCTATATGATATATTTAACTGAAATGTCTTATTCATAATCAAAATCATAATAATGTGGTTATTGTGTTTATAAAACATAGTTTGTAAATTTGTGAGAAAAATCCTTGTACCTTACTATTAGATATATTCAGCTGAGAGCTGATTGGCTGAGTGGCCACTCATTTTTACATATCTTCTCCCCATGTTTCAGTACTGTGAGCAGCTGGAGCTGCGCAGCCAGCGGGGCTCTCTGTGGCTGTGCCTTAGGGGGCAGGGCCTTCAGTCAGAGGTTTCCTGCTCGACCTCTGACCCCGAGATGGACTTTGGCCATGTCTTGCTCAACGACCGCTGCAGCCGCACTGTGACAGTGAGGCCAACCACTCACTCACTCACCCACTCACTCACTCACACCTGTGGGGATCTGTGTTAGGACCTACCATGTGGAGATCTGCTCTCTGTGAAGTGACCAGTGAGGGACAGTCCTTTGATGTAGTCAGTCTGATCCTACATCTTTGAGGTCAGAAGATCCAGAGACAAACCAAATCAAACTTGTCCCTGAGCTATGAGGCTCGGAACAAAACCCCAACTGCTTCAGTTTCAGGATCTTTGTCAAGTTTGAGCTACACACATGTGTAACAACATACTTAAACACCTGTGACGACAACATACTTAAACACATGTGTAACAACAACATACTTAAAGCTGCACTAACTGACTTTATTTTCGTATTCATTACGAAAATGCTATCCATGTCCATGCAGTGCATTGAAATATACGTCCTTTTGAAGAAAAAGTTGCGCAGATTTGTGCTGCCGTGACATTATATTTTAGATCGAGTTATGATGAAACAAGGAAGAGAATGTTTCGGGTCGCAGATTGTGACCAATCACAGCGCACCACTAGCCCCCACTTTTGTGAGAAATCTGCAGGTCCCTGTTAGCACCAAGCCCCGGCGATCCAAGATGGCGCCCTATTCAAATGAATGGTTGTGCTCAGTGGCGCTTTGTGACAGCATGGGGGCTGAAAGATTAGCGGAAGTCGCCTGAAACTCTCAAAGATCTATGGGAAACTCGCCTGTATTTGGGCATCGTCTGGTCCTCCCGGTTCTGCGCAGTGGATGATCTCCCATAATGCGTTGCGCCAAACACACGTGTGTGGGTCTCACACCGGGTCTCACGCACGTGCACAGAGGGGCTCGGCTGCGCTCTGACCAATCAGAGCAGTTCATCAGAGCGGGAGTTAGAGCGAGAGCCAGAGGAGCAGAGTTTGTGGCACTAAAGTGTGGATTTAAACAAAACCGAAGGATTTAAGAAGAAAAAAAGTTCAGGATGACAAGGGACACTAAAATCCCCACAAAATCCGATCTTTATTAAAGCTGTAGGTTCTCTGTCAGCTGAGGTTGAGCTGTTTTAATATGCATTGAGTTCTATGGGGAAAATTTCTGGGTAGCCCAAGTGAATTTAGTCTGGATCAGTCTGCAGTACCGCGAGAATCCCCTGAGCACGTGAGTTATTCAGCTACAAGCTAGTAATACCCTATCCAGTTAATATAATACATCCATGGTTAGCACAGACAGCTGAGTTAGCACAACAAGCGGCTGAGCTAACCTGTGGCTTCTGTGTCTTCGTCAGTGGTTACTGCTTACACAGCAAGACAGCCATCCAAAAGAAAGTCCCGTTCCTCCGCGCTTCCCGGTTCTATCGTTCTATGGTCACGCCATCCACGTGCAAATCCATATCCATGTATTATCCATATTGGGAGACGCTAGCTCCGTCAACAACAGTGGGTGTGTGTGGGGGGCGATAGCTTCGAGGGTGCAGGGAGGGGAGCAGAAAGAACGAGGCCAGCGAGTCCTCGGCTTCAAAATCCCAAAGTCAGTTAGTGCAGCTTTAAATAAGCTATACCCGATTTTTTTTTCATGAATTCATAAAAATGCTTATTGCTAACCTTGCCTGCCAGCTGAATTCTCGCGGTATTTGTGAGTTCACAAACACTCAAGAATACATCTTGCCCCGCTCCCGCCAACTCTTTTCGAGTAGAACATCTAGGTGTTCAAGCCAATCACGCGCCAGTCTGGGGGTTTAGGGCGGGATATCCGGGTTTGACAAAAGCAAGAAGTGCAGGGCCGAAGCAAAACAAACATGGAGGACGGGCGCGTAGCTGAGGCTATCAAGTCAGTTTTAGCAGAATCTCCAATTTATTTTTTGAAAGATGAACAGCGAGAGGCGCTTTGTGCACGCCGATGACGACATAATGTTACCGGGATTGGTTTAAGTCAAACCTTGGTAGGCGGGCACACAGCGTCACTTCGCCCAATCAGCTTGAAGTATTCTGCTGCTTATCCCTCCTTTCCCCGAAAGGATTCCCCTGCAGAAGTCCCAGATTGATATTGTGGAGAAAGCATTAGAGTTCTACACAATCATCAATCTGGCTCTTGCCAGGTTAGCTTATTGCTACATACAAGTTGTATAATAATGTTTAATTTCATTGAAAACATTAGCTCATTGATTCAGCTTGTGTATGAATTCAGGCCGTAAAAAGTGCTGAGTAGAGGCGTGACACTCGTTCTCCTCCAATCACAGAACAGGCTGTATCCTCTAGCTGTAACTGCAGACACAGCAATACAGCCCAAATGATGCAACAATGAGGAAGAGAAGAGGGAACTAAAGCAAAAATATTATAAAAGAAGAAATCAAGCCTGGGTAACATAGCTAGCTTAGCGTTACATCGTATCCTCTGGAGAGACTTATTTCAGTCTATGAGACCTGCGTAATTTTTCAGTTACATTTTTTGTTAGCAGAGCCTTTTATACCATTGTACAGCTTAAGTTGTGCTCATGCTAATGTTTGCATTGTATCAGATCTCAAATAAAACTAGATGGCTTTGTGGGAGGAGAGCATAGGGGAAATGAGAAGCCTGTGAGCTAGTTTAGGGGCGGTGCTAAACATTCAAACCTTGCAGAAACGGGTATAGCTCCTTCAAAGGTATAGAGGAGGATTTTCCCAAATTTTAGGAAAGAACTGTCCTCAAGGGATCGCCTCTTAGAAACCTACTACAAAATAATGTTTTTTGTTTTAAATTAATGACTTATAGATGCAGTGAAGGATTCTTCTTAGCTTAGCAGGAGCATTTGAGTCAAAACCACTCCCCTTTCCCCCTGCCCTCCACCAAACCTAACTTCCAACATGAACGCGGTTTCTGTAATAACGCAGTCTGTAACAGAGCCTCCCAGCTGAAAGCATTACACAACATTAGGGCTCAAGTCTGTGAGCGATTTGCCTGCCGTACTTGGCAAGCGCTAGCTTCTCCTTACAAACTAGCAATTAGCAAAACTCGACTGCCTGCTTTACATTGCCCTCGCTGCGTCCCGAGTCTTCTTATCAACGCCCTTTCCTCATATGATGTTCTCTTCTTTGCCACAACAGGGCGATTGGGAGGCAAACGTGAAATTGTCCCTTTAGGGGTTTTCGGTTCAGCCATTGTAGGCAATCATTGAATGCATCTATAAGATATTAATCTTCCATTGGAGATGAGGCTACACTTTGTATTCAATTGAAAAATTCAGATGGATTAGAGAATTTTGATTTGTTACTTTCACAGATGAAAGGTGGGAAAGCTGTAGTGTACACATCACATGCACCACATACACAAATACACCACACACACTCCAATTACACACATCTCCTCCAGTGGAGTTCCAGATGGTTCCTACATCTCTCGTTGTTAGAATACTTGTGATTAATGGTTTGAGCTTTTTGAAGATCAAAGAATGGTTTTATTTTTATTTTTTTCAATGCTATTTTCAAAAAGGTCAATTGGAGCAAGTTTAGTCAGTATCTCTTTCCTACACCCCTCCTCCAAATCCAATTTCTGCAGAACTGGGTATTACTGACAATATTTTTTTGTGTTCAGCTCCAGAACACCTCAGCCGTAGAGGTGGGATATAGGACCCTTCTCTCCAGCCAGACTGCACCCCTGGTGGCCCCGCCACCCCCACTTGTGTCAGGTGAGGAACCCTCAGAACAGGACTATGAAGGTTATTTTGTGTTTTTATTATCAACACTTGTTTTGCTTTTGAATTCTATAAACTGTAACAAAAAGTATTCAGTGTAAATAAATTCAATGTTTTAAAATTCAGTGTCAAAAAATTCAATGTTGAAAAAAATTCAGTGTCCAAAAATGTGTAGGATTTTTTTTTTCGCTGCATGAAATGTCATGCTTTATTTCCGGGTAAATCAAGACAGAAGCAATCGATCAGCCAATCCTCCATAGATGCAGCCAGGGCCAGAACACAACTTTGTCTTTATCCGAATGTCCACACTATACCGTGCGGGACTATTGTGAGTGAGTGACTTGAGTGAGTGGACTGGACTTGTAAATGTCCCTAATAGCTCTCATTTAATTTTGTTAATATTTGCCATGATTATACTGCCATCTATTGGTGAAACATGAAACGGAACTAACAAGCTCATTACGTTTTGACCCGACCCCAATTCAGTGCGCCATAGACTGCCGCATTTTTCCCGGTCTCAGGTAAAATCCATAAAATGTTAATAATTGTACAATAATATCTCGAGTAACAAGATGTTAATGTATGTTTTGTATTTAAGTAGACACTGAGACGAAAGCAGTGTGTTTTGCGGCCAAGTTGAGCAATTAGCCCCTCGTGGAAGTCAGCTCACGAGGTTCGTTTCTTTTTTGTGTACTTTTATTTTCATATACACACAAATGTATTTTGATGCGTTTTTTGTATGTGATTCTTTTTGTGAGCAGTTCTCACGGGTTGCAAGGGTTCCAAATACAAGAATAAACCCTGTTTTATCTACCTCGTGCTCATGCTATTTCCTGAGGGTGCTACAGTGAGAACTCTTCTGCTCCGCATGGGTAGACGAGACTGTGCCAGCGCCAGGGTGCAGAGGGACGACAGCGCCTCCATTAACCACGGCCACATGCACAACAAGCAACTAAAGCGGGAAATCCAGGTTTCCAAATGAATGTTGCCACAAGGACTAAGTTATTTCATAAGTGAATAATATAAACACAAAGGACAATTATAATAAGTAAGAAGACACAGTATTTCATCTGTTGTTGATCTGAGGACTGAAATAATTTTCAATTGATTTTTGTTTCAAGTTTAAGTGATTTTGCATACAATATTATTATTTGTGTTTATGCTAAGTTACTACAGTGTTCATATTTGATTGTTATCAGTTACAGTTGATGAAAGGATTTTATTATAGGTATATTCAAGATGTATGCTTGCTTATACTGTGATTTAAGTCAAACAAAATAAGTCAAGTTTAAGTTACACTTAGACAATTTTATAATATTTACTGTGCTATTAAGTTACATTAGTGTACAGTAACAGTTATATAAGGCAATAACCTCTTTATTTAACATCAAATATCTGATTGAACCCTAAGATATTCCTATCAATACCAAACAAAGTAGTAGTAACCAATGGCGAACGTTAATGCTCTCTCTGAAGTTGGTGAAGAAAGTGATGAGACACTGAAGATAAATGAGCCACAAGATGAATCTAATAGCGTTGCAGATGATAATTCCACTCGTTCACAAGATGCACAAAGAAGCCAAAGAGTCCGAAGGTTAACGGAAAAGGGGCAAGAGCAGCACGATGATCAGGTAAAGAAAGCCACACATCGTTTCAGTATGTGCTATGAGAAGTGGAAGGCTGTCACTAAAGATGCTAAAGGTGCTATGGATGGATCTGGCTCCAAGAATCTTCTTACTGAACACGTCTCTCAAGTAACAAGTGCCTTGAACAATGTTTGTTCAGCATATGATGGCTTGCGACGCATGGTTTCTCCTGATGGTGATATAAGACGCAGGATGGACACATGCAAAGCAGTTACAAGGAGAATCTGTGAAGCATCAGAAAAACATCACTACCCAACTAAGGAGGGAAGTTTATGCTTAGAACATCCAAAGGATACAGAGTCAGTATTTAAGTTTGCTGCAGCATCAAAGACTAACTCAAAGGTGTCCAGCTGTCACTCCAGCAGACATTCCAGTAAAAGGCAAGATGCTGCTGCTGAAGTTGCTGCAAATGAAGCTGCTTTAGAAGTTCTACTTGAACAAGAAAATCGAATCAAGGAGATTGAAAAACAAGAAGCAGAACTTGCACAAAGGCAAAGAGATTTAGAAGCTAAGCGCAGAGAAGTAGAGCGGCTGGAGACAGTTAAAAAACTAAAAGCTGCTAAAGCAAGGCAACAAGTGTATAACATAGTGAGTGTTCAGATGAAGAAATATATGATCTGCTTCACCAGCGCACATCTGACAATGAAAAGAAAGTGAAGTCGGACAACAAAGACTCTCCTATTAAAATGCAATGTGCTCCACAAAAAATGATGGCTCCATTTGAAGCAAACACAACAGAGCTAGTTAGAGCATTTGCAGAGTCTCTAAGTGCGAGTCGTCTCCCGGTCCCAGAGCCAACTATATTCAGTGGCGACCCCCTCAAGTACAATGACTGGAAGATTTCCTTTCAAACGCTCATAGACAGGAAAGGTATACCAGCTGAGGAGAAGTCATACTATTTGAGAAAGTATGTGGGTGGACCTGCCAGACAGGCCATAGAAAGCTATTTTCTTCTTGGCACAGAGCCAGCCTACTACACAGCATGGGAAGTTCTTGAAGAGAGGTATGGCAATCCATTCCTCATAGCCAAGGCATTCCGAGACAAACTCGATGCATGGCCAAAGATAAGTTCAAAGGGCAGTGTGGAACTTCGAGAGTATGCAGATTTTCTTCGCAGTTGTAATGCAGCTATGTCACAAATCAAAGGACTTGAAGTGCTTAATGACTGCAACGAAAACCAAAAAATGCTTGCCAAACTACCTGACTGGCTCACATCAAGCTGGAATAGAAAGGTAACAGAAATGCAAGAAATATACCACACGTTCCCAAGCTTCAGCCGTTTTGCAGAGTTTGTGTCCTATGAAGCCAAAATTGCATGTAATCCCATTACATCTCTCCATGCTCTCAAACCAAGTGAAGGTGAAAAGATTACTAAAGTGCCAAGGAACCGAACTTATGGTGCTATGGTTATGGCGACTAATTCCAATGAAAAAGCTGGCAGCTGTATCTACTGTGAAAGATCGGGCCACTGTCTACAAAAGTGTTGGAAGTTCATGAATGAGAACATTGGAGAAAGACTAAAGTTTGTACAAGAGAAGAGGTTATGCTTTGGCTGCTTAAAATCTGGCCATCGCTCAAAGGATTGCGAAAGCAGAGAATCTTGCGACACATGCAAGAAAAAACATCCAACATGTCTCCATGACACTCGAACTAAGGAAGAAAGAACTCCAACGAAGAGTAATCAAGCAAATAGCAATGACAAGACAAAACAAAGAAAGATAAAAGATACAGATTCAACCACACAAGCTACAAATGTCACAACTAGTGAAGCCACTTCAAACAGAGTAATGCAAAACTCTAAAGACACTCACACATCCTCGATCATACCAGTGTGGGTATCAGCTGAAAGCGAGCCAGAACGAGAAGTTCTAGTCTATGCGCTCCTTGACACACAGAGCGACACTACCTTTATTTTAGGAGAGACTGCAACAGCTCTAAATACTAAAAGTGAACCTGTTCAATTAAAACTGACTACTATGTCTTCAAGGAACGCAGTTGTCTCATGTCACAAGATCTCTGGTTTGCAAGTGAGAGGATTTAACTCTAACAAGATCATTACCCTACCAGCAACATATGCAAGGGACTTCATTCCAGCAAATCGAGATCACATTCCGACACCCGAAACTGCAAAGGCATGGTCACATCTTGAACACATTGCAGATGAAATCGCTCCACTTCAAAGCTGCGACGTTGGTCTTCTGATCGGCTACAACTGTCCTCAAGCACTAGTTCCCCGTCAGGTGGTGTCTGGCAAGGAAAATCAGCCATTTGCACAAAGAACCGATCTGGGATGGAGCATCGTGGGCTTTGGAAATCCATTTTTTGATTTTGGAGATCCGTTTGGAATGAGTCTTAAGGTTATTGTTAAGAAAGTGGTGCCTGGTCCTCAAACATCTTCAAACCTCACCAATGAAGTGCATTATGTTTACAGGACTCAAATCAAGGAGATTGTTTCACCTGCTGATGTACTAAGAATGTTGGAGTCTGACTTTGTGGAAAAGGCCTCAGAAGATGTTAAAATCTCTCAAGAAGATCTGAGATTTTTGACCAGAATGAAGGAAGGCATTAGACTCAAAGAGGATGGACATTTTGAGATGCCGCTTCCGTTCAAGTGTGAAAGGCCTAACCTTCCCAATAACAAAATATGCGCCATCCATAGACTCAGATGCTTGGAAAGGAAGCTAAGGAGAAACAAACAGTACTATGTGGACTACAAAAAGTTCATGGAGGAGATCCTAGCTCATGGTGATGCTGAGAAGGTACCTCAACAAGACATTGAGAAGTCCCCGGCATGGTACATCCCACACCATGGGGTGTATCATCCACAAAAACCGGGAAAGATCCGCGTTGTCTTTGATGGCTCCGCTAAGTTTCAAGGAACATCCATTAATGATCATCTTCTGACCGGCCCAGAGCTTACCAACACCTTGCTCGGAGTCCTGTGTCGTTTCCGCAAAGGCCCAGTGGCAATAATGTGTGACATAGAACGCATGTTCCACCAGTTTCACGTGTGTGCCCCTGACCAAGACTATCTACGGTTCTTATGGTGGGAGAATGGTGACCTCGACACTCCATTTGCCATTTACAGAATGAAGGTACACCTATTTGGTGCGGCTTCTTCCCCAGGTTGCGCAAACTTCGGCCTTAAGCACCTGGCATCCAAGGAGAGGGACACTTCAGCAAAGAGACAATAAAGTTTATCAAAACAAATTTCTATGTCGACGACGGATTAGCAAGTGTCGGTACCGAAAGTCAAGCAATACAACTCGTCAATGAGGCGCGTGAACTCTGCAGCAAAGGCAACTTACGTTTGCACAAGTTCATCTCAAACAGCACCAAGGTTCTTGT